TGTTACCGCGCACCTGAAACGGTCCCAAGTCGCATCTGCTACCATGTTAAGGGTCCCATTTGCTTCTCCAAACTAAAACTTTTATGAGCAAGTTAAGGGGAATAAAGTTCTAAGTTTCTATGGTGGAAAGCTCAAGGACTTAAGTTTTTTATGGGAAATTTCCCCAGTAGAGTACTAGAGTGGAATTGTAGGAAAGATATCTGTGAACACTCACTGGAGAAAGAATTTTCTGTCTGGTGATTGTTTTGGTTTGAGAGCCTTATGCTTTGTTTGTTTGGAGGGATGAAAAAATGGATGGAAGAGAGAGGGGAAGGGATGGATGAGGCATCCCTAGGGAAGGGAAGGTGTCACTCCCATTTTTTGTGTGGTTGAATGAAATGAATAGTAGAAAGGATGGATGGGGTGATACTTTTTTTTTTTTTGCTTGGTTGGAATGAAGGGAAAGAGAGTTTTTATATTCTCTTTACTGATATACCCTCACTTTATAAAATTATAAAAGGTAGATATCTATTTCAAAATTTTTGAAAAGGTTAAATTTGGAAATTGATATTTGTAGGTAGTTATTATTTTTCTCTCTCCTCTCCTCTCCCAAAATTGGGCAGATAGAAAAACATAAGAAATGAGGGATGAAGCATCCCTCCTTGCTTCCTCCCTCTCTTCCCTTCCCTCCAACTAAACACAAATAAGTTCATCCATCCCTCCTCTTATCCATCCCTCCTCAATCATTCCCTCTAACCAAACATATCATTAGTCAACAAGGACATTCCTTTATTTGCATTACTAATGTTTTTTATATAAAATGTTGACTAACAATTATCTAATAACTTATATGTAGGCATAGGATTTTTTTAATTGATATGATGCTTCTATAATGCCATTTTAACTTTCACATGGTTACTTGTTGGAGGCTTGGGTTTTCACATAGGTGGTAACCTTTAATCTCAGTCTTACTTTAGTAATATGATCATACTTATGATCATTAAGGTAAGGGATATTGCCTTTTTCTTTTTCTTCTTCTTCATACTTTTTCCCCTTGTATTTGCGTCATTTCACATATTTTATTGCATTAATAAAAAACTATATAAGTCTTACCACCGTATGTGTTGCTTGTTACATCTAAATGGAAAAGGTTGAAGATTAACAATTTTATCATAAGATTTGAAAAATGTGCTAACCGGAATTGTTTATCATCAGTATTCTTGCTGCAGGATTGGAAATCTTTTCATCTTTGTTGAGATCATTCCCTTTTTGGCATAAATTATGAATTATCCATTATCGTCCCACAAAGTTTGGTAAAACTCTTGAGTGTCAGTGCAAGTCTGAGCATCAATAGTTATTGTGTAAAATACTAAAAGTTAGGTCTGCCTCAAGCTCTCTTTCTCGGGAACTTCCCATGGCATGACCAAAACTAGGTATTGCCCATATTAATCTAGTGTGTCAATATGGAGCACTTTCACACATACTTGTTGCTAACTATTAAGCCATTTTTACAATTTCCGTTTCTATCCTTTTTTCTTTTTTGGTGTAATGTGTATCTTCGATGAGCCATACATGAAAAATTTAGCTTTTTTAGGAAAGAAGTCAACTCTTTACAATGGACCTTGTAATGATAAATAAAAATGGAAGGTGCATAGTTATTTATTTTGATAAGTAAAACTTCATTAAAAGGCGCTCAAGAAGGGAGGCCTCCTCTCCATCAAAGGATCTCCTATTTCTCTCGCGCCACAAGCCCATCCATAAACAAAAGGGAGGGACCCTCCAAACATCTCTTGCTCGACTATTAGACCTGTCAATGGATCCGAATCCGATCCGATTACTTGGATATGGATTGAATAAAAAACCCGATAATCCGATAATGATCCGAATCCGATAACCCGATACCTTAACAAATCGGATATGGATTAAGGGTAATCCAATCCGGTTAAATTATATATATATATATATATATATATATATATATATATATATATATATATATTACATTGCAATACTGTATATTATATATGCATGTTATATTGAATTGTTATCAACCATTAGATTCATATTTAAGAATCATCTACCGTTAGATTGAAACCCCTTACAATGTTTCACGATTAGGTTACTAGTTATTAGAAGAGTCAGGGACTCCACAGATAAGAGGCGAACGAAGAAGACGAAGCAGTGAGGAGATCGGCCGCCGGAAGCCCAAATCCCTTATCGCGACTTGTGTTGTTCTCTCCAATTTTTCATTCTCCTCCTTTTTCTTCTTATCTATTCAATCTTACAAACCCTAATTTGTGTTCTTTTTCATCCCTTCCACATCGATCTGACTTCTTATTTTGTTTTCTTTTTCCCTTTCTTCCTCATCCTTATTATGCGAACAAAGATTTGAAGAATGAAATTATGGGATGAATTCGGTGTTGGAATATTTTTAGGGATTATTAGCAAAATATTTTTTTTGTTTTGTTTTTCCTTGTATTTGTTATTGGTATGTATTATTATGATGTAAATATAAACAAATGAATGAGGTTTATAGGTTAATTTTATGTTTAATTCTTTTAATTGTTTGTTGATTTGAGCAAAATTGTGTAATTGATTTTTCGATCGGATTATCGGATTGGATATCCGAATAGAGAAGATATCGGATATGGATTGAGTATAGAAGGATCCGTCGGATTGCCTATTATACTTATCGGATTCGGATCGGATTGACCATGATCCGGTCCAAATCCGATCTGTTGATAGGTCTATCGACTATATACTATATACCCTGGCGCAGAGTTATTAAAGGTTCAAGGCGCACCAAGGTGCTAGAGGTCCTTTGGATCCTAGGCGCGCACCTGAGTGAAGTGAGGCGCACAATTAAAATTTTAAACTACCATAAAAACATTCATATCTCATAAGTCATATCAATATTCTAAAAATTAATATAAAATATAAAAAAGTAAATCCATCAACTATATAAGCATTCAAGAACCATAAAACGGAGCACAAATTTGTTTTCTTGGAAGGCAAATCAGAATTTGTTTTTTGAATGGAAAAACAGAGCTCAAAAAGAAATAAATCTATTAACAAAAAAAAAAAAAAAAAAAAAAAAAAAAAAAAAAAAATGAAGTTAACAAATTAAGGAAAAAAAAAAAATAAATAGAGCCCAAAAAAAAGAAGAAGAAAAAGACAGAGAAAGAAGAGAACTAGACGAAGAGAGAGAAGTAAACAAAGATGAGAGGAGATAGAAGTAGAGGAGAAGAGAGAAGAAGAAGAAAGAACTGATATAGCTTCATCGTTCGACTGTGCAACCAGGGCTTCGTCGTTGGTCTCACAGTCTCACTTTTTCTATGTTCGGTACACTTTGACTCTTGGGCTTTCTTATTTGTTTATTCTTTTGAACAAAATTTCCTTCTCTCATAAGCTTAGGATTTCTTATTAGTTTATTAAGTTGCCAAAAGTACCATTTTTGGCTTAAGAAATAGAATAATCATTTTTATAAAAAAAAAAAAAATTAGTGAGGTGCACTTGACAAATAGGACGAGGCACAACTGAGACACGCGCCTAGTAAACATCAATGAGTCTGGGATGACAACAGGCGCTAGACCTGCACCTCAAGCCTAGGCACGCCTTTAACAACAGTGCCCTGGCTAAGCCTTGATCATGTCCACCGTTAAATCGGGAGACACCCAAAGCATACCGAAAGCAGCCAATAACATAGACCAAACATCCCTCTCCATTTAGAATGTGAAGTTAATGTACTATATTGTCTAATTAACGTTGCTTACACATTTACAATTTTGAACTTGAATGAGAAGTTAATGTACACCTCTTCATGTATATAAAAATCATTCGCAAATACTGTTGTGAAATAGGAATAAAAAGTATTAACGAAAGTTTAAGCAAATGCACACACCCACAACGTTGTCCCTACCAGAGCTCGAACGCTCAACCTCTACTCTTGGGAGGAGAGATCATACCATCTAGGCTAATTCCCATTGGTAATTTTGGTTAGCAAACATTCTACTTTATTTGGAATAATATATTCGTCCAATTGTAGAAAGAGAGTGTCATATAGTCTTTTTATAGTCACCAGCAATGATAAGTCTCTCTATTTGCTGTTATAATTCCAACGGTTTTTGCTTATAAAGTCTCTGCATGTTACCAATGGGCCATTAACCCAATGGTATAACCTCCCTACCCTTAAAGGAGGGGAGGGGTCCAAGCCCCGACAAGGGAAATGTATGTGTGAGTACTTACCTGAAAATCTCTGCATCTTCTAGTTCAAGCGATTATTCATGCTTTTTTTCTTTCTTTCTTTCTTTATTTATTTATTAATATTGGTAAGTGAATATCACGATATTACTTTGGATATGGTTTTGCCAAGTATCAACTCAAACTTACAAAAAATGCCTAAAGAACTCTACAACAAATTTTCCATATTTCCCTGAATGTCAATCTTTGATTCCCAGTTGGGGTTGGTGGTTGTGAAAATTCGTGACCGATCTTGCATAGATATCAATTGACCCTAAAGCGAGTTGTTTGAACAATACTATTAATATCTTATCAGGTGCATTATTTGCCTGCTATGTTTTCACATTTCTTTGGAATCAAATCACACTTATCTTGAAGTTTTGATAGGCTGATAGATTTTCTTAGTTTCTTCCGTGCACGAACTACTATATATTCAATTTTGAAAAGAAAGAGGATTATTTTGCTTCTATATTTTGAATAAATCTCTTAATTTTTCTTTATGTGCCATAAATTTGTTAGAAGTTACATAGGTTGTTCATTCAATGAATATTGCTAATGTCAAAAGCATGTCCAAGATTGAACACTATATTAATATTTTTACTTAAGTTGTTACTGAGTTGGGGGAATGTTGGCTGTGAGATGGTTTGATATAATACACCTGAATAGGCTTTTCTTTCATGTGAACATTTTACTTTGGAAGCAGTAGACTAGTGGCATAGTTTTTTATTTAATTCTTTTTTCTCTATCCTCTTTTAATTTATTAATTTATTTTCGTTGTACAGGTGATCAGGATGAAGTAGGTGAAGGGGCCTTGAAGCAGCTGCTTAACTGAAGCACGATATGATACTTCAGTGCATGTTGGGTTGGAGTGATAATATGTTCTATTGATGTTGCACTTACATTGACTTAAATAACAGGACAGTACAGGAAAAGTCATTTTTGCTAATCACTTTCTCGGGGCCGAGTCTCACTTTGAAGCGCAAGGACTATGTAATTGAAGGGTAATTCAGTATAATGTTGAGTCGAATATTTTGATACAAATGCGAGTGATTCCATTTGAATGGTTACTTTTACACACTTTTACATTTTGATTGGAACCTTGCTTGCACAGTTTGGATTGGTGGGATAATTTTCCCCACCATACTCTGCCCCCAATTCCCTCCAAATTTGCTCTATGTGTGGATAGACGTGGGTGGTTTGACAACAACTTCCTTCCCTTCTACTGTGGCGAAGGAAAGATTAGAATTTTTGAACAAGAACAAATGTCCCTTCCGTTGGTGAATAATTAATCTTCAAACAACTCGTTTGGAATTGAGGAGGACGCTCCCAAGGTTAAAAAAAGTGTATAACAATTACAAATCCGTTTCAGAGGATGGGCGGAGTTGGTATGATAAATTTTCTAACGAGGCGGAGTAGGATTTAGCCAAACTCGTACCAACTCCGTCCCATTGCCATCCCTAGCGGCCACAGAGAAGGCTGCCTCTGCTAGAGAAGTATAACAATCTAATCATGACGAAGGTTTCTTGGAAGATGAGAGATCATGTGGCTGAAAACATGGTCAAAGAATTGGAAGTTACCAATGACGGCGGGAGGGCCATCGTTAAGGAGTGTAAGCTTGCTGGTAAGCATCTGTAGGAGAGATATCTTAAGATCTGTATGTCCAGAGGAGCTGCTTCTTTCAGGTATGGATTTGATCAAGCTCTACTACCTGAGGGCAAGATGGAGGTGAATGATCCTTTTGCATTTGACACAAAGCTCAAGGTCACCTTCCTTTATGATGTTGATCCAAAGCCCAGCAAGGAAGAGATATCCATTCAGAAACTCCTGAATGAATCAGCTGCCGCAACATAAACTTCTACCATCAATGCATAGATATATGTGTGTGTGTGTGTGAAATGTCAATAACGCCCGTCACTTAAAATGAGAAAATCGGGAGGAGTTCCTAAGCCCGAAAGTCGTCCTGACTGCGAAAAATTCTAAAAATGATCTTGTCAATTCTAATTGGTTCAAAATAAATAAAAATGCAATTCTAAAACTCTCAGCTCGAAAAAATGACCTAACGGCCCTCTTTGTATAGACAGTACTTTAGTTTAATGGGAGTAGGATTGTGAATCGTGTTCTACGTAAACAAAACCATTCAAATGTGACAGTAGAATTGGGTCCTTTCTTTTTTATTTGTTTTTACATGAATAGTTTATACTTTGATGGTCAATTATCTCATGACTTATCAACCGAAATTAAACTTTTTGACGGATATGGTGCTCCCATTTCTACAATGTTTCTATTATAATTCCAAAGGTTTTTACTTTCTAACATTATTAAAATCGCTGCATCTTACCAATGGGCCATTAGCTCAATGGTATAATCTCCCCACACTCAAAGAGGAGGGGAGGGATTTCTGCATCTTCTAGTGCAAGCGATTCTTGGTGCTTTTTGTTTTTCGTTTTTATTTTTTCTTTTTATTTTTTCTTATTAATATTAGATAGCCTAGGATAAGGTTTTGCCAAGTATCAACTCAAACTTATGAAGAATGCTATTGCCTTTAGTGTCAATCTTTGTTTCCCAGCTGGGGTTGATGTTTGGGAAAAGTCGTGATCAATTATGCATAGATATCAATTGGCCTTAGAGCGAGTTGTTTGGGAGAACATACTCTATTTTCAGGTGCATTATTTGCCTGCTATGTTTTCATTTTTCTTTGTAATCAAATCACACTTATTTCGAAGAGTGATAGGCTGATAGATTTTCTTAGTTTCTTCCACGCACAAACCACTATATATTCAATTTTGAAAAGAAAAAGAAATCTACAAATTCAGTGAACTTGTTCTCCTCTTGTCATCTGACAGTTGCATCAGCTAGATTTTCTTGTTGATTCTGTTGCTCCTCTAGCTAATTTGTTTCAATGGTAAATCTCTTAATTTTTCTTTATGTGCTTCTGTGGGTGTGCATGCATCTTTTTTTGTACTTAATTAGGACAGAATCCCCAGAAACATAAAAAAAACTGTATAAAATGCATCAATTTGTTAAAAGTTACATAGGTTGTTCATTGAATGACTATTGATTATGTCAAAAGCATCTCCAAGATTGAACACTATATTAATATTTTAACTTCAGTTGTTGCTGATCGAGTTTGAGGAATATAGGCTGAGATGGTTTTGATATAATTTGACATAGATAGACTAATGGCATCTAGTTGATTCTTATTTTCAGGGCATGTGGGATACATAGTTAGGGTAGCAAGGTTGTAAATAAGAATGTGGAATGCCATTTAGAGGCTTAATGATGGGATTGTAGGAAAAAAAAAAAAAAAAAAAAAAAAAAATAATAATAATAATAATGAATGAGAACACAAACACCTGAATAGGTTTTTCAAAAAAAGTAGACTAGTTTTTATTTAATTCTTTTTTTTCTCTTTTTGGTGTGTTTCTACAGGTGATCGGGACGAACTAGGTGAAGAGGCCTTGAAGTGGCTGCTTAACTGAAAATAGATCGGCAAGCGTCTACAAATGTTGGCAGATCATCGTTCAGATGCTCCGAGTATTGCTGCAAAAGGTATGTTCTCTCATTGGCATATCTACTTTCTGATACCTCCCTGTGTTTGTGATGCCAATTAACCGCAAAAGAAAAACGCTCTGTACCTTTTGTATACCTTTTATTTATGTGTCTAACTAATTGAAGAATTGGGCCATTTTATTTCAACATTGCATGACTCAACTGAAATTGTATTTCTTCTTATTTTATTTATTTATTTGTTGTAACTAGCACTGGAAAGTTCAGAAAACCTATATTTGCAGAGAATGAAGCTTAATGTGGTACTCCAATTTGTTTTTGAAATTTTACAAAATAAATCCAAATTGTTTTTAAGGAAACTGGCTTTTATGCAACGCTTGAGGTCTTCAGAATACATTAGCTACACAAGGGACTTAAAATATATATATATAAATAAATAAATAGCCTTAGATTCTTGGATTTGGATGAACTGGCTGAATTAATTTGTCGATAACTCTTGCAAAAATTAACCTTTTGCTTGATTGGCATTATTTGATTGTTTATAAAGACGAAGATGTTTTCACAATTTCCACAGCAATCATTGCTTTAATTTCTTTCTCCATTATGATTTTTTTTTGGGTGTTATTTATTTTGTTTTTATTTAGTTGTACTCCTAATAGTAGTTCAATTTTGGTTGCAAAATTTAATGTGCTTATTTGATCCAAGGATCAGCAATATGATTCTTAATATGTACTCTTTTTATTACACTTTCAGTTCTCCCTAATCGAAATGCTTTCTTTTGTATAATTTATTTCTGATATTTGACAATATTTCTTGTTTACAGGTTTTTGGTATTTCTATACCTGAGTTGTTGAAGGACATCTTTGGATTTTTGAATTACAGAAGTTATAATATTTTCCAATAGTTTTAGAGAGTTTGGCATATCTATTGTCTAATAGTGCATAGAGTCTCACTAATTCTATAATTACATGGTGAACAATTGTAGCTTTTGGTATTTTGTTCAAAATAGTGTATTCTAATGACAGTTCTAAATATAAAGCACATTTTGGCTTTGAAAGGTTATTTTCTTGGAAATTAATTTGGCTTAAAAATAAATTCCTTAAATCATTTTGGATTCAAATCCATCTCAAACAATTGTTGAACTCTTGATTACATGACTTTGTGAATATGTAAAGCCAAAAAAATTACTCCCCTGTTACAGGTTTATAGTATCAAATTGAGTTTTACTTAAAATAATTAAGCTAATAATCACAATAATTCAAGATTGAAAATTAAATTTGCCATTTGCAACACAGCATAAGTTCATGATATTTCTGTTACAAAAAATTGTGGTTACAACAAAATGTAACTACAAGTTTCTTTTTCGTTACAATAAAATTGATTCTTATTACAACAAAAATTACGTTTAACATACTACTATCTCCGTCCCATATTAGATGTCCAACTCGAAAATTTTGACTCACAACTGTAGAGGTAATATATAAGTATATAAATGGAATATGATTAAAAATGACCTCAAATGACTTAAAGATAAAAGGTGATAGTGAGTTAAAGTTTTTGACGTGAAAGTGAGTCATAGTTTTCATCGTGGACAACTAATATGAAACAGATGAAGTAATTGTAAATTTCAATTTCCCACCTTTTATTATTATTATTTTTATCTTGCAAATATGACCGATCAATAGATTGCACTATATTTTTAATTCTTTCATCTGATTTTGTAGCTAGATTGAAATTTGTAGATACTAACGGATTTTTTTTTTCCCTAGGTTTTACTATAAGAATTCAAATTTCACAAACTAAAGGTATAATTTTACGAACCAGATTCATGAGTCAAAAGCAACATACACACACATTGTATGTGTTTGTGTGTGTATAAAATTAATTACATCTGATGAGGAAAAAAGTAACTGTAGAGTTGACCCGCCGCCATTCTTCTCCAAGTTGAGAATATGAAGATATTATTATTCAACTAACGAAGAGGATAAGGTAAACCATTGCAACCAACTTCATCACCTCAACAGATCCCATTACTAATCATAAGAGAGATCTCAACCATCGACATGTGCGGAACGATCTTGATTCCAATCATTAGCCATAAATAGGATATCGAGCCATTAAATCAGGTATGAGAAAAAACCCCTAATCATTGAATACATGATTATTATGTGATAGGATTGCAAATACTAATTAACTTGATCGTCAGAGGGTCCTTGGCCGGCACCCCACCAGTACCGCTCGAGGAGATGTCCCTTTGTTTTGCAGGTAAATACCGTCGTTCTGGGTAGCAAAGATTTTCCCACCAACAGTTGGTGCCGTCTATGGGAACGATTAGTTCCCTGAAGAAATAATAATTCTGACGCGACTTGGCTTAGACGACAAGACGGAGGTTTCTGATCATGGAAACCATCCCAAAGTTATCCGTTGACAATGGGTTTTTTCGTTTATATATAAAGACGGGTCTCTACATCATGATTCCCTGTCCATTATATTGGGGGCAAAACAGTGGGTTGCGTGATGCCACCCAGTGTACGATGACAATAGTCAAAATTTGGTACGTCGACCCTGGCAGTCCAATATGGTGGCTTCCATCTAGCGGTGCTCGGTCCCCTCATTACTGAGGTCTGGTCGCCCAAGACCAAACCCTGTCTCCTATCTGGCAAAAGCCAACTACCAAGACCTGATCGTCAAAGACTAAGGCTTGGTCCTTCCACACCTACATAAACGAGTGGGTCTCCACCCACGAAGAAGATCACTACTAATAAGGGGGTCTCTAATTACTAGTAAAGCCTCTACCACAGAAGATGTCTCTAGCAACGGAGTCTCATTACTCCTCCCGTACGTGCAATTAGGGTGGCCTTTTACACCTAAGAATGTATCGAGGTCTTCACGTTTAAGGAGGTCCAATGTCCCTCAAGATCCCATGTCCAATGAAGTTTGTATTCCCAAGGAGGTTCCTAAGTCAAGGGAAATCATTGGACCCAACGAGGTACTGGCCACCAGACCAGCGTCTGTCAGATGTTGGGTACTACGCCCCCATCCACTAGGTATTAAGCCGATCGTTGCACACCAAACGTCCACCTACCAGACGCCGGTCGTCACCTCTCTTCCCTTGCAGGAAAAGCCCATCGACTTCAGATTATGCATAATTTTGGATCGATAATCCATTACAGGGTACTTTTCAGTAAATCATTTCTAACGCAATTCAACATATTAGACAACTGTAAATTGTTACAGCACCAGGCACCCCGTCCGCTGTATAAACGTCTATAAAATGGGTCATCACCCAACATCCCACCATCATAGGGCAGAAAAGTGGATCACACTATATTAATCCGACCTACATATGATGACAAGGTTTAAAAGACTGATGTACCAACCTCGGTACATTGAGCTAGCCAGGTTTCTGGTCTCTCTTCCCCAGCGACCCCTCGAGGACACTAGTTGTCCAAGACCAATGCTCGATCCTTCAAAACCATAGCTTGGTAAGTCTCTACACACTGGGAAGGACTCTAAGTCTAGTGAAGTTTCTAAAATCAATGAGTCCACCGTGTCCAAGGTGGTCCCATGTGGTTTTTAATGATCGAGTACTAATGATGGTCTCTTCTACCAGAACCAAGCTTTGTCACATGCATTTTAAATTTGACGGGTCACTACCTTCATAGCCACAAAGCAGGGCAAGCATAAATGATAAGTCCACGAAAATGAAAAACTTTTTAAAGGACATGTTCATTGAATTAAAAAAAAAATGTCTATTCCCTTATTAAATGGCAAGCTTATAAAGCTTGGATAAAACATCCCCTTATTAAAGGAGCGAGCTGGGTGAAACTCGTAAAAATTAACCCTTTATTAAAAGGGTGGGCTGAGTGAAGCTCGAAATAATTATTTCCCTTATCAATAGGGCAAGTTGAGTAAAGCTTGAACACGTTACAATCTCCTTACCAAAGGAGTAAGAACAATTACTTCCCTTATTAAAGGATCGAGACATCAATGGTCAAATAAATCTAAATACGACTCTAAAAAGGGGAAACGGTTCCAACACCAAAAGTTATATCATAAGGGTACAACCCCTGGTTATCATAAATTAAGGTTTAGTTATCCAGAACCAAGGCCTAGTCAACCAAGACAAAGGATTGATTGCCCAAAGTTTACAAAGGCTCGGTCATCCAAGACCAGTGCCTGGTCACCCCAAGTTTGGTTATCAGAGACCAAGACCGGGGCCTAACCGACAAAAGTATGGTCATCAGAGACCAAGACCAAGGCCTAACCTACAAAGGTCTTGTCATCCAAGATTAAGGCATGATAAAAAAAAAATAAAATTTCTCACCTCGGGAACAATACTCGGGGGTAAATTTTCCCTCAGGAATAATAACCCGGGTGAAAAAAAAAAAAAGAAAAAGAAATCTCACCTCGGGAACAATACCCGGGGGTAAAGTTCCCCTCAGGAATAGTAACTCGAGTTAAAAAAAAAATTCTTCTCACCCCGGGAACAATACTCGGGGTAAAGTTCACCTCGGGAATAGTAACCTGGGTGGAAAATAAAATAAAGAATTCTCACATCGGGAACTATATCCGGGTGTAAAGTTCCCCTCGAGAATAGTAATCGAGGTAAAAAAAAAAAAAAATCTCACCTCGGGAACAATACCCGGGGGTAAAGTTCCCCTCAAGAATAGTAACCCAAGGTAAAAATAATAATAATAATAATAATAATAAAAATTCTCACCTCGGGAACAATACCTGAGGGTAAAGTTCCCCTCGGGAATAGTAACCTGGGTAAAAAATGTATATATTCTCACCTCGGGAATAATAGCCGGGGTAAAAAAAAAAAAATTTACTATATTTCCTAGTCCGTTCCAAACTAGGAAATAGGGAACAACTAATAGGGAAAAAAGTAACTCTGGGGTTAACCCGCCGCCATTCCCCTCCAACTTGAGAATATGAAGATATTGTTATTCAACTAACAAAGAGGATAAGGTAAACCCCATTATCGCAACTAACTTCATCACCTCAACAGATCCCGTTACTGATGATAAGGGAGATCTCAACCATCGACATGTGCGAAACGATCTTGATTCCAATTGGCAGCCATAAATAAGGTATCGAGCCATTAAATCAGGTATGAGAAGAAACCCCAAAACATTGAAAACATGATTATTTTGTGATACGATTACAAGAACTAACTTGATTGTCGAAGGGTCCTCGGCTGACACCCCACCGGTGCCATTCGAGGTGACGTCCCTTTGTTTTGCAGGTAAATGATGCAATTCTGAGTCGCGAGGATTTTCGCATAAAAAACATCTATAGGTGAAGTAAAATCAGAAGCACAAATTTGTATATGAACTCTACTAATGAGATCCAAACTTTTGTGGGGAAATCACAATTCATAGATTGTGGGAATTAAAAGTGATGACCAAAATTAAATTAAAATGTATCTTAAAAATAAGTTAAAAATGATGAAGAAGAATATATGATGAGAATTGACAAGAATGCAAAGTGTGGGATGATAAGGGTTTAAGTTTCTAAATGGGAAAATTGGATGTGTGTGTGGTGTGTGTTTCTTGCCGATGAAAAATAAAAGGTAAATTACATTGACCCCCTGAGGTTTGGACAAATTATACAGGGATAGAACGTTTAACCTTTATTACTTTAACCTCTCCTAAAAGTATGAAAAGTCTTTCATACTCTTATCTAATTTATATATATCAAACCAATATACTCTATTACCCTTTTAGAATGGGGACAACCTATTCCACCTTCGAAGATTCGGAGTTTTCTAGGATTGGCATGATACTATCGTAGGTTCATTTAGGGGTTCTCGAAGATAGCGGGACCACTCACCCATCTGACTAAGAAGGGTGTACTGTTCGTATGGGATGAACATTGTCAAAAGGTTTTGATGAGCTGAAGAGGAATTTGACTTCTACACCTGTTCTAGCTACACCATAGAGCGGGATAAAGTATATTATTTACACAGATGCTTTTTTATAGGGTTTTGGCTATGTTTTGATGCAGGAAGAGT